TCAGGAGACCTCTCTGGTTCTGGAGACCAGGTTACCTCTGGAGACCTCTCTGGTTCTGGAGAACAAGTTACATCAGGAGACCTTGCTGGTAGCGGGAGTGCCAGTGGAGTATCTGGTCTTGGTAGCGCAGATGCTTCTGGATCAGGTCTTAGTGGAGGAGAATCTGGGATCACCATTGTTTTCTCAGGCTTTGACAGTTTGGGCTCTGGAGAGGGCTCCGTTTCAGGAGGACTCCCAGAAGCTGGAGAGGGGAGAACAGAAATTCTGAACTTGCCTTCGTCTGAAGTGGGCTCTGGTGTGCTCAGTGGCAGCGGGGGCTTGTCTGGATCTGATTCTGGAATCGGGTTCAGCTCTGGGGATAGTGTACAATTCTCTGGTTTCATTACCAGTCAGGACTTTTCTGGGTTTAGCGGTTTCCCATCAGGATTGTCCTCTGGAAGTGTGAGTGGACACTCAGGAGAGCTTTCAGGAAGTGGAGACACTCAAATCTTACTGATTGATGGTGAACTGATTGATGGATCCACTCCGATTACCCACAAGGAGCATGAACTTAGTGGGGACCTGCTGTTCAGTGGCTCTGGAGACATTTCAGGTTCTGGGATTCTCAGTGGCGATCACAGCGGCTCTGCTTCAGGAAGTGACTCAGGGTTCTTCTCAGGCGTGACCTTGGTGGGGTCAGGGTTCACTGAGCTTTCAGTGGCATCCTCTGGAGAGCAGGAAGCCTCTGGGTTTTTACTCTACAGCTCTGGACAGGGAAGTGGTGGACACTTGTCTGAATTTGGTAGCTCAAGTTTCATCTCTGGGTTCACATCAGGATTGTCTGGATCAGGATTGTCTGGATCAGGATTGTCTGGATCAGGATTGTCTGGATCAGGATTGTCTGGATCAGACTCCTCTACCAGTGGAGAAGGCAGTGTCACATTTGTGTCTGGGGATATTCTGACAGAGGTATCTGGAGCTGCTCTGTCTCTGGAGCTGGGACAGGGCTCTGCAGTGTACAG